GCTCCAACTAATCATACAATGCAATTATCCATAACTCAAAATTCTTAGGATATTCTTCTAAATTACTATTTCTTAAAACAACTTTTTTAAAATTTTGTACTAAAAAACTGCTTTAAGAAGCAGTAAGAAAGCCATCTCAAACGAAGCCTAAGTTAATAGTCTATACATTTTTCCCAAATCAAATTAGTTTTACAATAAGTTTAATATCTTAGAGCCTATAAACTAGTCTTAATTGAAAGATATTCTTTTGATAACCGAATGAATAATCAACTATAATAGTTTATGTCAAAGGGAAGAGCGTATCAAAAGATGCAATGAAGAAGATATTGGACTATCAAAAGATGCTCGAAATTAAACTTCATGATGTATAAGAAAGGCTATATCCTTTTATTTTATTGGGATTTACATACATAGCATTTAAAACATTATAATTTATATATTTGATATCTAAATTTTTCTAATATATATAACGGTTAAAATATTAAAATAAAATAAAAAATAACGCCTCTTTTTATAATCTCATCATTGTGTCACCAATCCCATCACCCTTAATTGTCATTCATATCATTCTTCACATACCTGCTAAGCCTCTCATTCTTATGCTCCCTCTCTCATCTCAATATTCATCTACCTCTCTATTTGCTATTCGACTCTTACGCTCCCATCAAAATTTCTAAGTCTTGAAGAACAAAGAAGAGAGAAAATTACAAGGAAGCTTTTAGGCAAAGGCATCAATGGGGTCTAAGTGGCATGTGGAGGAAGCAATAAGCCATGCAAGTGCTTCTTCAAGGAGGCTTCCAGGGGCCCAACAATGTGCAATGAAGAAGAGAAAGTCACATATGAGCTCATTGGGGGAGCGAATCGATGAGCCCAACAATTTTGCTCAATGAGCTTCGACTAGTGTTTGATGAGCTATGTTAACTCCATTGATGCATTGATATATGTTGTAAATAATAAAATTTAGATGTTAAATATATAAATCTTAATTTTTTAAGTGATGTATGTATAAATCCCTGTAAATTTAATATGTAACATTTGGTCAAATTTATCTTTAAATGGAGAAATGATTATATATATCATTAAAGGGGATATTTTGTTGAGTTTATTAAGACTCTACTGCATTTGAAATGTAGGACTTTTAATTTTGTAGGATTTTGATTGAGTGTAAAATAAATATAAAATATTTTTCTTAAGATTTTGTTATGCATGCACTAATTCATTTTTATTGCATTTTGATTTTGCACAAATTGGACAATTTCCAAATATACGTTCTCAACGAATCTCGTCCAAGTCTACAAATTTGTTTTTTTTTTTTTTTCATTGTAATAATAATATATGTGATATTTTGTTACATTTTTCATCAAAGAATCAATATTTTAAAAATTAATTTAGAAACTGAGATAAAAATTTGTATCAATTAAAAAAAATGCAGATATATATAAAAGTTGAAATGGGAAATTTTCCGATTAAATCTCGGGCTATTTGGAGGTTTGGAAGTCAACTTTTTCGTCTCCCTCTAATCCATTAAATTATTTTTTTAGTAAAAAAAATTTTAAAAATATTTTTAGTAGAAAGATGTTTTAGAAATCAAAAAAGAAAGTCATGAAAGACTTTGTTTGAAATAATTTTCTTATTACTTTTTTAAGTAGCTTTTAATTGCAAAAAAATTTAATTTAAAAATTTTATGCTAAAAAGTTGCTTTAGAATAAAATAAAAAAGTTATCCCAAATAAAGTTTAATTCTATTGTACGATCATTTTTAAATAAATCGGCTAGTAATTCAAATTTTAAAACCTTGCTAGTGCCATTGCTGAAGTAATATTTTAAAACTTCTTTTTCCCTTAGTTAGAGAAAATGACATTTTTTAGTCGTAGCTCCCGGCTCTGCTAGGGTTTCGCCTATCCGTATCGACGGTGGCTGCTGATGCTCGGCGGCGTGGTCTTCCGTCCGGTTTCTGCAGGGGAGTTTTCTCTTCTCTGTTTTCATACATTTTGCTTTCTTCTCGCTGTTTTCTAACCCGGGCATCTCCTCCGGCCCTTTGCGGCTGGATGGCTGTCCGTCGGGTTGAGGACCCTGGTTTTTTGAATAGCTCGTTTAAATCTAGGTCTTTTGTTGAGGCTCTCTCTGGTTCTTCCTCTTCGGAGCTTTTTCCTGATCTTCGTCATGGATCATTCCGAGGTTTACCTTCTTTGTGGATTTATGAGGCCGAAATTTGTGCGCTTTCTGTGCCTTTCCAATTCGCCTTAGTTGGTTTTTTCCCCACGCGACGCCCATCGCTGGATGCCATTCGGAAATTTTTCTTTGCTCTCAAACTCAAAGACGAATTTTCTGTCACGGTTCTAGATCAGACGCATGTTTTGATTAAATTGTCTAATGACCTTGATTATAGCCGTGTGTTTTGCCATCGATCTTATATGGTGAACAACTGTTTTATGAAAATTACGAAGTGGTCGCCTCTTTTGGATATTGGCTGTGAATCGCCGGTCATTCCAATTTGGGTATCTTTTCCTAAATTGAGACCTCACCTTTTTACTCCCCGCATCCTTCACGCTTTAGGTTCTATGTTCGGTAAACCCTTGAAGGTGGATTCGGCAACTTCTGTAGGATCTAGACCCTCTCTTGCGCGTGTTTTAGTCGAGCTGGATGTTACTAAAATCTATACGACACAAATTTGGCTAGGTCCTGAGGAGTCTGGGTATATCCAAAAAGTGCAATTAGAAAGTTTTCCTGAATTTTGTGAGTCTTGCAAGTGTCTTGGCCATATTAAGGTCATTGTGCCTCCTCTGTTTTGCCTATTTTTAACTCTAATCCACCCCCCGCTGAGAATATTAAACCTCTTGTTGATGGTGTTGTTGCTGAGAACCAAAACATGGCTGAGAATGAGTTGATTAGGAATCCTGTAAGTGTGGTGCCTCCTCTGGCGTCGGTCTCTTTGCAGGTAAATGAGGTTATGTCAACTGTTGAGCTGGTTGTTTCGTCTCCTGCTGTTCATGAGGAGGTATTGGCTGAGCCTCCCCTTATTCATGTTTTGTTGCCTCTGGAGTGTGAGAATATATCGAATGTTGAGGTGAATCCTAATAATGAGGAGGGTGTTGTTGTGGCTGTGGCTGAAGGTTCAGTTTCTCCTCTACCTGGCGTCGAGGTTTTGTCTATTCCGATTGTGACTGTGGTGAATGATGAGAAATGTGTGAGAGTGGATAATATGCAGAATAATTCCGTGTGCACTAATACTTTAGTTGATGTTCCTATCAATTTGGTCGATACGTTTTCTATGGTCAATCGGTTGGGGGACAATTCTGGATTTGATATTAGGAACCATATGGATTGGTTGCATGGCTCATCTGAATTTGAATCTGAGTCCGATTTTTTGGAGTGTGATGTGTCCTCTCCGGATATTTGTGGTGGTTCAGACCCTGGAAACGATTTTAATCTTGTTCGTGATAGGCCGATTATTTCGGTAGCATCTCGTGGTAGATTTCGTGGAAGGGGACGGAGGAGAAGATAATTTTCTGGATGGCATTTTTGCTGATATTTCTTTGTGGGAATTTGGCTATGTTCTCCGTGTTTTCTGGATGTGGAGTTTTGGTTGGAAGTATGGAATTTATTGCTGGGGAGTTCATATTGTGTTGGCATTTATTGGGTCCCTTCGTCCCTTCGTTTTGCCTGCTAGCCTGAATTGGACGATGATGATGCTCCCATTTGCAGGCCCCTTGGACGGTCTTCGGGCAACTAGGGTTCCTCCATTTTTTCGTGCGAAATTTAATACCTGAGTCCAATTCTTATGGCTTGGGAGCTGGGTATTTTCTCGCTGCAGGTTTTGGAACTTTTGGTGCTGACTCTTATCCAAGCTTTCCTTTAGTTCGGTCAGCTGCTGCTTGCTTTCAAGACCTTTTGGTGCTTCTTTCCACAGTTTTCGGTACTTTTACTGCTATTCAATTGTATTGGGTGATTTAGTTGGGGTCTTTTGACCCTCATTAGGTTTTGTTTTTTGCTTATGGTGGGTAGCTTTTTGCTTGTAATTTATTCTCTCTTTTTTTTATTAATATATGGGCTTAGGCCCCAATTTTCCAAAAAAAAAAAAGTAATATTTTAAAACTTAGGTGTTAATTCATAAGAGTGAAAATTGATGTGTCATCAAACAATTGATTTTATTTAGAACGAAACTTGATGCATATTTAAATTAATTTTTTAAATTAAATTTAAAATCATTTGAATCTCAATTTTAACAAATTTATAGTAAAACAGAATATTTTGATGAGACAAACTCATCGAAACTAAAGTGATCTAATCTGACTCCAAATAAATTCAAATCAACCACTTGAAATGTATTTAAAAACTTCATGATTCTAATTAAATAGCCAAATGGTCTCCAAATCAACCAACACAAAATCATTTAATTCTGACATCATTTAATCACTTAAATGCTAAAAGAGTGATCCATTATTAAGGCAATAATACGGGTCATCTAATGCAGTGTTCTGGATTTTAGCTTTATTATAGACATGACATTCTTAAAAACATTTAAATTTGGCTATGCTTTCTCATTGAGGAAGAGGGCATCTATACATATTGCCAACATCAACATTAACTCTCGACATCAATATCAAGATTTATGCTAGACTTACTGGCCTTTAGCAACCCTTACTCAAAAGAGAATGATCAAGCAACTAGAAAATCATTTCTTAAAGATAGCTCTTGCTCCATAGAACTCATCTTACTTTCACCATGTTGATATATGTTCTCTACTATATAATATCAACACCTTCTCCATCAATGAGAAAGAGTGTCATTTGGAATTGTTTCGATTATGCCGGACCTTCGTCATTTTATATTTTTGAAATTGTACGTAAAAACTCATGTGTTTCTTACAACTCTTCACTTATTTAAATGTATATTAGATCTTTATGCAATGCTAAAATGTTAAACTTCTCACTCTATCGCTAAGAATATTCTGACTCACAATATATATATATCATTGTTCAATATTCAATATATAAGGAACCAATATCAGAATTATTGGGCACATTTTCTTTCAGCAGATCCTCAACGAGAATATCCACCCGATTAGTGCCGCTCCAGACCCCATCTCTCATGATGAAAGTTTCTTTCAAATTGTTCTCTGAATCTAAGCCGATTGGAGCAGCTAGACAATGTGCGCTGGTAGACATGCCTGAAATTGGAAGTTCACACTCAGCATAGGATGGTAATTGATAAGAAACTATTTATTAAGACAAAGTATAAAAGAAAGTTTCCAGACATATATTTGTTAGAATCAAAATACAAACCCGGTTAGGTGCAGGAGGGTTAACCAGACAGTCATCGAGTAGAATATCAAGACATTCCCTAGGCTTTGAGGCATGACCATAGGTTATTCTCCATTTTCCTTCTGTCATTCCAATTATCTGACGAGATAATCAAAATGTTAAGAGGTCATAGATCATTATAATATGGCAAAGTATCATTTTATTGTGCATTTGATGATAATCTTACATCACGTAGCGTTTCTGGACGGTTTTCGCTACAATAACATAAGAAGTCCCGCACAGTGTTGATATTACATTCTACAAGCTTCTTGTGGAATGGGCCATTTTCGAAAATCCCCTTTAAACAGTATACTTTATCATTCATCGATGGAGGACGATCCTTTTGGCACCCTAGACTCGAGAAAACAAAATGGTAATTAAAAATTTGTAGAAACTACATTTAAAATTACACTGCTGTATTTTGAAGTACTTCCATTTTGAATCTTTCAATATTATGAGTTGAACATAAGTTATATATTAAAGTCTAAGAAGGTGCATTTTAAGGAAATCAAGCATCTAAGCTTTCACGAAGAAATTCAGTTACTAAGTTTGGTATTTGAAGATGTATAAAGGAAAAAAATTCAGCTAAATTGTTATTAATAGTATTGAAGAGTTGTTATCCATCAATAACTTGAGTTAATCTTCTTCAAGAAACTTGGTCTTCGTTTAGGACAACTTTCTAATTGATTTCTAAAGCAGATTTTTAGTACTTCATAAAACAATAAGAAAGTTATCCCAAACGACGTTTTTTTACTACTTCTTAAAGCAACTTTTTAGTACAAAAAATTAAATTTTTGTACTAGTTACTAGTAAGTTGTTTTAAGAATCAGTATGAAAGTTGTTTTAAGTGAAGATGTTAATGTATAACTCTTTATATTTCAACTAAGAAAAATCAATAATATTTAGCTAAAAGCAGCAAACAAGAAATAAATTGACAATGACAAATCCATTTCAAAGCAAAGCATTATTCAAATAATTTTCAAACTCAATCAGAACTAATTTAAATCAAAAGATGAAGAATCAATCAAACATTTAATTGATGATTAATTAACCAATGGAACCAATTTCCAAATATAAAAGTATGCCTCTCAAGCATATTCAATTCATGATATTTAACAAATGATATTAAAAGAATGGAAAATCTATTGAAGAATCCTTACAGAGGTAAGTTGACATTTTCACGTTAAAGTAGGCAGCATATAGATGAATAGATCAGCCAGTACGTTGATTAAAAAAAAATGCGCATAGAAACTAAAAGGTAGTGGCTCTGTATCATAAATTTGAACATCAATGGGGGTTTAATTCTAAGGTTGAATCTCATGATATCATTTCAAAGAGAAGTTGTCAATGCTCTGAAGAACATATGGATTTTACTGGAGACTCCTTACTTCGGCTTTGTTTGGGACGTCTTTCTTTTGTTTCTTAAAACAGTTTTCTAGTACAAAAATTTATAATTTTGTAGTAAAAAGCTGCTTCTTAAAGCAAAAAGAAAGTCATCTCAAACGAAGCCTTCATCAATCATACGAGTATAATAGGCACTCAAATATATGCTTTTCAAAAGCATTTTTTCATTGCTACCAATTAGAATTTAAATGGCATACTCCATGATATTCATTACTTTAATATATCTTATATATTTCCAAATTAGGTGCAGTAGCTCTACCAAGTGGCAAGAGCAACAGTGATGTGATCATGTGAGTAACTCTTTAAAATGAACAATTCTGGAATCAAAAAATAAATACTTACGTTTCATATGCTGATCTAGTACTCTAAAATCCTTGCTTATTCCTTCTTGAACTTCTTTAGCCATGCCTCTTACACCCAATCTGAACGTTTTAGACTTAGTCCAACTAGAGTTATCAGTAAATTTGGCATCTGATATACTTCCGATTCCATCATAAAGCCTAGTGGGCAAGTTTCCTATCAACAATGGTCCTTTACCCTTTCTTGGCTCTAATACATATTTCTTAAACTCTTCCTCGGTCCATTCACCATTTTCATCGCCATGAATATCTCCATTAAGGACAAGAATTTCAATCTCAGCTGTCGCCATGGGACCAGAGCTGATGACATTGTTTGAAGCATCTACCAAAACTATTTCAATCTTAATATCATCTTCTATGAAGTTTTTGTCTGTATAAAGTTTGTCCGGCAATTTATTAAACCGAAATCGATATTTGCACTCTCTGCAATAGGAATACAGAGCAACAAAACTTCGATCAGTATTAAGATATGCAACAAAAACATTCAAACAAAAGAAAAAAAGGTACAAAGCTCAGTTGCAATGTGCCCCGACAAATCACACAAATGGTAACAATTTTACCTGGAAGAAAATTGAGGAACATTGATGCCAATCCTTTGACATAATTTTTGAACCTGATAAGATGATAAAAGAAGAAGTTGTAAGGAGGATTAATCAGAGTTGGCTGGTTGCCTTGAACTAGAAGCTAAAGATCCTACGACAAGTGATCAAGAAGCTCATTTCATAACTCTCAGCTTGCAATCCTAAACAACTTCATAAAAATTAAATCATCATTGAATACCACTTGGAGATCACGAGGGTACGGCTTCTGCTTCTTCATGAATTCTTCCAGCGTGTATCCCCTGCAAACATCAAAGAGAAGGAGAAGCTGAGAAGAAGAAACGATCAGTGAAGAGACTTATTGAACCGCAAGAACTCACTGGTCATGCCGATCGCAGCAGCACCGCTTTGATCCGCCGGCTCGCGTCGGCGATGCTTCCCCGTCGCCGTTTTCGTCAGAGGATTTCCTATTCGAACCCATGGATTTATGCGAACGCCTGCTTTCTGCTCCACTTGTTGATGGCGAACCCATTGATTTATCTTTTATAGATTCTTTTTTTGGCAAAGTCATCGCCAAGTCTTTCCTCGAGATTTTCTCGAGCTTTTCCTTCCCGCGGAAAGGGAAATTTACCAACAGAATTAAAGCTCGAGAAAAGACTTGGGAAAGTCATCGCCAAGTCTTTGGCATTGTTTTTCAAATAATCTTGTGGAGGAAAATTGTTTTTTATAATTGGAGCAGCAAAGTTATTTTTCTCAAAATAAATTCATCTGAGACTTTATAAAACGTTACAACCATTTCAAAGAGATCCTAAATTAAATTCACACATGATTAAACTTTGGTGATATAATAATTTTTAATTTAGTTAAAAATTAAATGCAAAATATGTGATAAAAATAAAGATTTGTATTTCATTAAATATAAAGTATCCACATAAAATATCTTATGTAATTTCATATTTAAATATCTTCTATATTTGAACAATAAAAAAAAATAGAAACTTATTTTTTTTCATTGTAATAATAATATATGTGATATTTTCTTAAATTTTTCATCAGAGAACCAATATTTTAAAAATTAATTTAGAAAGTAAGATAAAAATTTGTATCAATTAAGAAAAATAATCTTGATGCATATTTAAATTAAATTTAGAATCATGTGAATCTCAATTTCAACAAATTTATTGTAAAACAGAATATTTTGATGAGAAGAACTCATTGAAACTAAAGTGATCTAGTCTGACTCCAAATAAATTCAAATCAACCACTTAAAATGTATTAAAAAAATCATGATTCTAATTAAATAGCCAAATGATCTCCAAATCAACCAGCACAAAATCATTTAATTCTGACATCATTTAGTCACTTAAAAGCTAAAAGAGTGATCCATTATTGAGGCAATAATACGGGTCATCTAATGTAGTGCTATAGATTTTAGTTTTATTATAAATTTGGCTATGCTTTTACATTGAGGAAAAGGGCATGTATACATATTGTCAACATCAACATTAACTCCCGACATCAATATCAAGATTTATGCTAGACTTATTGGCCTTTAGCGTCCCTTACTCAAAGGTGAATGATCAAGCAAATATAAAATCATTTCTTAAAGATAGCTCTTGCTCCATAGAACCCATTTGACTTTCACCATGTTGATATATGTTCTCTACTATATAATATCAACACCTTCCCTGTCCATGAGAAAGGGCGTCATTTGTAATTGATGAGAAAAAAATTAGTGGTTTTGTGGGCTAGAATATATGCGGCGATATAATTATAATTCTACGTCTTAGCGTTGCACGAATATCCAGCTCACACACAGAAAACACAATATTTTTTACGTGGAAACTCGGGAAAGGAAAAAAACCACGGGATCTAGCCCAATTGAAAATGATTCCTCTAGAATTTTAGAAAAGTAAAATGGTCTGACTCGTCCTTGAAGACAACCATATTATAAATATCAACTAAGAGTTTTGCAATAGTCCAACGTCCCTCCAATGTCAGGTGGCGATCCGGCAGCACTTCGGTGTTAGGCGGAAGATCGGTAGTGTCACTTCATCATTAGTAGGTACTTCGACGTTCTTTGATGGTCTGGTGGGTATTTGACAGATCTCCGGCGTCCCTTGGTGGTCTGGCGGTGGTGCGGTAGAACTCCGGCGTCCCTTGGTGGTTCGGCGGTGGTGCGGCAGAACTCTGACGTCCCTTGGTGGTCCGGCAGTGGTGCGGCAGAACTCCGGCGGTGGTCGAGGAGGAGCTAGGCGGCTGGAGCTTTCTTCCTTGTCTTCCTTCTTCTCTCATGGCTTCCTCTCCCTTTTCAAGAGGAAATGAGGTTCTATTTATAGAATTCTTGAATGGCATGGTTTGTAAATTAGTGGAAGATCAAGGGTAAACTAGGAGTGATTCGAATGGATGACCGATCTTGATTACTACGATCATGTATTGTTTAATGGACCTTTGACTGCCTAAATGATATCAGAATTTGGTGATTTTTGGGCTCGTTGGATTCGTCTCGTCAAGCTGCTTGATTCGGCTACAAGAATGTCATGATTGGAGATCGTTTGGTAACACAAATTGTGTTTTGATCCTTCTAAAAGTGTTTCGAGTCTTTGATTTGGACTCTTTTGGGCTCAGATTGGGTCGATTTTGGTGTCCTTGGGTTCATGTTTCCGAGACGCTCAGTTCGACTGCAAATTTGGTGAAATCGGAATTCAGATTGTCTCTTATTTAATTTTTGAAGTTTCCAACTTGATTTTGCCTCAAGATTCGTGCTCGATCAAGGTAAATTTTTTGATGATATATCAAGTGAAATTATTTTGATTATGTCAGACCTTTGTTTTTTTATATTTTTGAAATTGTGCGTAAAAACTCTTGTGTTTCTTACAACTCTTCTATTATTTATACGTATATTAGATCTTTATGCAATGCTAAGATGTTGAACTTCTCACTTTATCACCATAAATGTTCTGGCACGCAATATATATCATTGTTCAAAATTCAATAAGGAAAGTTTCATATATGCATAATTGTAAGTAATAAAAACCTAAAGATTAAGTAAAATTCGTCTGAAAAACGGTACACCAATATAATATAGGAGATGATGATGGAATTTATATTTACTTAGGAGATAAATCATAAAAGAAAATCGAATAAATTTATTTGATATTCAATAGAGGAAGTTTCATATATGCATAATAATAACTAATAAAAATAATAATAATAATAAGTATAATAAGGTTCTTATTCATTGACGATGGTTCAAGTGCACTATTGTCTTTCTCATAAATGGCCTCCCCGTTAGATCTCATTGCAACTTTTCTCAATTTATTCATTGTCTATAGAATTTTCTAGTTTTGTCAATAACCTTTCCCAAGTTGATCTCATCCCAAATTCCTTTTTGCACACACGTGTGGTTGTCACGTCATTGGCCTTCGCTGAGAGCTCACCACAAGATCCTGCCTGACTTTTTCTCGTTGCCTACGTGAAATAGATTAATAAAGCGATAAAGTATGTAAATAGTAAGGTTTAAATATAAAATACACATATCAAAAAGGTTTGAGTATTATTATGTATGCAAACCCCCTAAATATCAAGAATGTGAGAATGCAACACGACGTGATGCTCATATTATATTAAATTAATCACATGGAATCTTCCTTACAGCAATTAAAGATGGTGTTATTAAGCCTTAAATATGGATATAGACAAAAAATGTGATAGATCTTATCGACAATATGTTATAAGAGGCTCTTTTGATTCAACAAATAATAGTTTCATAGGGATAGAAGATTATCATTACTAACTTTACTTTGTAATTAGGGCCAAATATTGTATGTAATTACAATAAGATTCTTTGTGACCTTGGAGGCAAAGAGAGGTGAAGTAACATAGATCTATGATGGATCCTCTACCCCTTGCTCACAAAGCCAACATTAAGCTGGGCAGCTGGTAATTGCATAAAAGCTTCATTTTTGTTGAATGCTTCTTACACTTTTCTCTTTATTATGTGCTAGAATATTTATGACATTAGAGTAAGAGTTTTATATATTTGATTTTTATGAACATGCACATTGATAAAAAAAAGTTGCAAGAAATGTCAAAATTTTTATATGAAAATCTTATAAAGGTAAAAGAAATCAGAGTCTAGTGCAGTTGAAATGATCTATTATGTGAGTAACAAGTCTGCTCTTCCCCTCAATTGAAGAAACATGATTATAAAATTGAGAACATCAGCTTAGTTTCTTTGCAGTATAATAGAGATTGTTGAAGAATTTGTGGATGACGATGACAATAGGGCGACGACAATTGGGTGGTGTTGGTTTAGGTAATGGAAATTGGGTGACTATGATCAGACAAAGTTGGTTAGATGATGACAATTGGGCGATCAAGATCAAACAATAGTGGTGTAATGATAGTTATATGGATGCTTTATAAAGGCTTGAGAAGAAATTAATATAAATAAGTGGTTAAGCTTAGGATGTTAGGTATACACTTAGATGTGACTCATTATTTGATTTGATGATAACACATCTAATGTAATGTCAAAATTATTTTTTTAAATGCGGTGTCATTTAATTATTTGTCAAATGCATGTTTTAGGGTTTATCAATTCATTGCAATCATTAAGATGATTAGGATAATTCACTAAGCATGACTGAATATTGATTGCTTAAAGGAGTGTGAAATTCTACAATACTTGATGATTCGAGGACATATATAAAGTCATTGAGGTTAATGATATGCTCTAAGTGTAGTGAGTCCATTATTTTTTATTATACATTATTCGAGTCTGATTTCCACTAATTCTAAAATGGTAAACACTAATTAAATAAATATTGATTTTTTCTCATACCTATGTAAACATAAATTTTATTAATTTATATTATATAAATAACTACAAGTATTTGGCAATATCATTAGATATGATAATTAGGCTTTGTGCTTCATTTGATGGTTAAATAAATTTGTTTTTATTCTATAAAATTTTTTCTGAAAAATTGTGTAATATGATATATATCATGATTAATATTATATAGTACAATCTATGTTAGAGATTAGTCATTGTGGAGTGTGTCATCTTAAATAGTTTTAACAACTTTGAAATATATTTTATGATGCTGATCACATCATACAATCAAAAAAAAATTTATTAGCTCCAACTAATCATACAATGCAATTATCCATAACTCACAATTCTTAGGACATTCTTTTAAATTGTTAAATTGATTTATGTTGATCGCACAATGTGATAATGATCATGTTAAAAATAAATCTCAATTAAAAGGAGCCATTGCATAATTTTATTGGGATTTACATGTATAGCACATAAAACATTATAATTTATATATTTGACATCTAAACTTTTTCTATTTATATATGTAACTGTTAAAATCCCATCACTGTGTTACAAATTCCTATTTAAAATATAGGAGTTTTAATTTTGTAGGATTTTAGTTGGGTGAAAAATAAATATAAAACAGTTTTCTTAAGATTTTGTAAAACACGCACTAATTCATTTTTAATGCATTTTTAATTTGCCCAAATTGGACAATTTCCAAACATACGGCCTCAATGACCCTCACCCAACTCTACAAACCCTCACAAAAACCTGTATAAACTGTCCTCATCTTGATCCACCGTTGTTATGATCCCACCATCGCTACAACCCGTTGCCATAACTTTGCGGCACAATTATGTCTCACATCAACCCTAATACCCATGACATCTCAATCAATTTGCACATCATTGTCGTCTCCCATGATCTTGCACCATCATCATCCGCATTGTGCATGACCAGTGCCCCAACTATCCATATTATTCATGCTCGCCATCCACCTCACCCGCATAGTCTGCGATCACCATCCCTGTCATTATGAGCTTATTTTACAACTCAAATAAAAAAAAAGCTTGCTTATTTTATAACAAATTAAATAACCTATGAAAATAAAATATAATATATTCAACTTTGATTTGATGCATTAAGAATACTTTCAAAACAAACATTCCTACGAGCATTTGGTGAGGTTGATTTACAGTTGCCAAACTATTTTTTCAAATCAAATTTATATGAACCAAATTTTAATTATGTTAACTCGATTCTATTTTGGATGAATCAAAATATAATTAAATTTAATAATATATTTAATTATATTTAGGTTAAATAATATATATTAAAAATATGACTTTATGCAAATACTCCAATTTTTTTTCATCCAAACAATGCGAACTTGGATGGATTGGAGGAAGAACACTGCAGCGCTAGCAGCAGCAGATACTTCGCCTGCATCTTTCGTTTGCTAACCTCCCTGCTCCCGGCCAACGCAGGCGGGCGGCGGGCCAATGTCTCGTCCGTGCAGATGTACCTCTCCTCCCCTCTATGTTGTTCCGCCGGCGGTGTTCCGATTGCCATTCCCGCCGTGCCGCTGCTTACTGACACCTCACTTCTCCACCACACCCCAAAAAAGAACTATTACAATATTTATCCTCTAATCCTATCTTTAAAAAAAGAAGGTAAAGCGGAAGGGCATTCCCAGCCTCCATCTCTCACTAGCCCTCATATCCCAGCAGCCAGGCATCGGGCAATAGAAAGGTGTTTGATCTTCTCCTCGAATCGATGTCGACTGCAGATTCGGATCAGAAATCATCCGCCGCGTCTGCTGGCACTGGCGGCGGTTGCACGCAGCAGCAGCTGAGGAAATCGCTCACGATTTCTGGGGACAGACAGACCGCTCCATCATCTACTTCGACGGCGGCGTTTCAGGGCCCGCCTTTCCCCGCCTTCCGGCGGACGAGTAGCGGCCCGCTTCCGCCGCCGGCGGCCGGCCCAGTGCGACGTTTGGCAGTTGCAGTCGACGATCCATCGGACGTGCCGGTTTTTCAAGGGCCGCTCTTCTCGGCTGTGCGGCGGGTCAGCAGCGGACCGCTCCCACCACCGCCAGCTGGCCCGGCGCGGCGACTGATGGTTGCGGTCGACGACCCTTCGTATGCGCCGGCTAACGGTGGGGTTCTTGATCGTGATTGGTTCTATCCGTCGTTCCTCGGGCCGTACCCTTCCCGTCCGCGCGCCTCGGCAAGGGCCCGGCCGAAGCCGGACCCAACGAAGGCAGAGCTTTTGTCACAGCCGCAGTTGCCAGTGACTGGCCGGAGTCTAGAAGCTGATAAGCAGATCTCAAAGCCCGAGCATGCGACAAACGGTAAGGATGCGTCGAAGCTGTTGCCGGATAAGGAGAAGAAGAAGAAGTTAGTTACGGTTCCTCCTTGTTCCTCAGCTGTGGTTGCGAGAGGAGCTCATCGAGCAAGCAATTCTTTTTTACTCTTAACGGTGAGAGACTGCTTTCTGCTTATTAGTAGCAAAATTTCATTTTCGGGAATTTCGGGGAATTCAGTTACATTTTCTTATGGCAGCTAGTTATGGCTTCAGTAATTTTCTCTTCAGTAGCAGTTCATCAGCGAATAAGAGTTATAAAACTTGAGGTACGGAGTTAATTATACTAAAGTTGTTTTTGGCTTAAATGAATCTGATGTGTTGATTACTAACCTTGTTCAGGAAGAAGTTGTTAAGATTAGTACGGCCTGTAATGGAGTCGAGGGATGGGCAGGCGACCAAACTTTGCAATCTGAGGATAGGCTTTCTAATTCTTATTTGGGTAAAACTGATAGTAGGACAGTTGCTTTATACACGGCGATGTTATCATTATTGTTGCCATTTTTTCTGTTCAGATGCCTTGAGTACATACCTAGCTTAAGCTCTTATTTGAAGGGCTCGAAGAATAATGAGGAGGAAGTTCCTTTAAGGAAGAGGATAGCATATAGGGTAGATGTGTTCTTCTCTATGTACCCATATGCTAAGCTTCTGGCACTGCTTTTTGCTACTATACTTCTCATTGGATTTGGTGGATTGGCACTGTATGCAGTGAGTGATAGCAGCCTCTCTGAGGCTCTTTGGCTTTCTTGGACTTTTGTTGCGGATTCTGGTAACCATGCTGAAATGGTTGGCTTGGGGCCGAGAGTAGTCTCGGTATCGATCAGCTCAGGCGGCATGTTGATATTTGCCATGATGCTCGGGCTCGTGTCTGATGCAATTTCAGAGAAGGTTGATTCTTGGAGGAAGGGAAAGAGTGAAGTCATTGAGAAAAATCACATTCTAATCCTTGGATGGAGTGACAAATTGGTAATCTTACATGAGATTTTACTTTTCGGTGATCTACATTATCCACACTCTCAAGTTGTGCTACCATGATTAATTGGAGTTCTGAATTCTATATTGCCATTGCCTTGCTTACATTGGATTTGTGGCAAGTAGCTTTAGTCATACATTTTGCCAATATAAATATGTAGCATATCTTTCATATTAATTGGATCCATGAATCTTCTGCTTGACTTTATGATTATATTTTTCTTTTATTATTAAATTTTCATTTCTCTAATACTTTGTTTGCCTTTATAAAGAGAAAGTCTTCTAACAAGATTGTGCATATTTATATTACGTTGGATTAGCAGAATCTCGCTGCATAGGATCACTTCTATTTTCTTTTAGTCATGATTTATCATGGATAGCCGAATCTTTAAGCTAACATTTCAATTATTAGTTCATGTTATCATATTATCTTCCATTTAATTGATAGCATGGTCTTCTGCAAACTTGTAATCCACAAATTGTAACAATTTCTACTTAAAATGGCAAAAAAATTGCACTATTGGTTGAACTTAGGAACTTGTCTAACCTTGGCTATCTTTCAGCTTGGATGCTAATAGTTAGTCACTCTACAGTTTTCAAAACCATGAACCAGAAAGAACTTCATTGTGTAATTCTCTTTTAATGATCTCATTAACCCAAAACCTTTTTTTTTTTGTAAAGAAACTAGTGTTTTTTTTTTTTGCATTCTGTTATTAGAGTATAAGTTCACTTCAAACTTTTTATCTGCTTTATATTGCCCTTCTGCCAAGTCGAAGACTCTCAAGTTTCTTAAGTCATTAGGACAACTTTATTTTTCCCATATTATACCAAATTATGACATATCCTTTTATCATGGATTTGTACTTTTTTAAGACTATTATATTTTTCAAAAGAAAAAGAGATTATATATAAAATATTCTCTAATGGTTTGGGAGTTTTATTAACTTGCCTATTACGCAAATTTTAGTGTACATCTAAGCGCAATTTGAAAATCCATTTTCATTTGGAAATTATAAAACAAAAAACTTAAAATTTTCAGGCTGCAAATGAGCCTTTGTTATTCCATAAATCCAACCCCAATTGTTTGGGATACGCTAATGATGATGAAGAAATGACCCTATATTACTTCTGGAGTTCTGGTATTCTTCCATATAGCAATCTTGGACCAACATGGCAACTATATGTAAACACTAACAATTTGTTGCTTTTATAAGTTATTTTTAATCCTATTTTTCATTTTTTTCATATTATGCCATTATAGAATTAATATATTACTATATTAATATTATTACATATGCTTAACATGTATTAGGAATTTATTGTATTTATTATAATATATTATGATCGTGGAGGATATTTTCCTTGATATCATTTTCCGTGTTGCACTTTTTCGCTTTCCTGTATGTAGGCATGTTTGTAGTAGCATCAGGATTAATTGAATAAAGGTGTACTATTTTATAATTTCTGTCATGTTATTAGCGCCAATACTTTAAGTATGCTTTGCCATTTTCTAATGCTAAGATCTCATGTGGACTCCCAAAACAGCAGCATTTATTATATGAGTATATTTGCATCTTTCCCAAAGCGGTAACCATCATAACTTGGCGGAAAAACAAAAATTTGGCGGTAAACCAAGCGGGAAACTAGGAAGCCCAAATGAAAATTGGAAAATAGAGCGGCTCATCAAGTGGCTCGATTAACTCATTACACTGTCACGAGTCGAGCTCGAGTTCGGTATTTGAAAACCGAGTTCGGATCGAACTCTGACTTGAACTCGACTTGACTCGTTTGCACCCCTAACGGCGTGTCATCCCTAACGCCGTGTTATCAAACACATCTATCTCTCTCATCTATCCTAATTTTGAGTTTCCTAATAGTTTTGTTAGCCAACACATGAAAAACCCCATTGAAGATGAAAGTTGTCAATTGCATATTTAGGTACCTTAATATGATTAGGAAAAGGCGTGCAATATGAAAAGTCAACCAACAAGAAAATCAAAATTTTCGTTGTGCGAATTATAGAAGAATTATTTTAACGTGTCATACATCAAAACTATGGGAGCGAGTTATTAAGCATATGTTACGACATGATACTAATATTTCTCAAAATCAATTTGGATTTATGCCGGGTATGTCTAATATGGAAACTATACATTTATTGAGAGATTTAATGGAGAAATATAGAGAGAATAAGGAGGATCTAAATATGATGTTTATTAATTTAGATAAAGTATATGATAAGTTTCAAGATAAGTGCTATGAAGATTTCAAGAATAGAAAGGAGTTGATAATGCTTATATTCAAGTCCTTAAAGATATGTATGCAAGAGCTGTTACTGGTGTTCAAACACAATGGGGTTTGACCAAGTATTTTTCGATTTCAGTTGGATTACATCAATGATTAGTTTTAAGCCCATATATTTTTGCTCTAGTCATGAATATTCTTACTAGACAATTGCAAGAAGATGCACCCTGGTGTATGCTTTTTGCTAATGATATTCTTTTGTTGATAGGATTAGAGAGGGAGTTGAAGGAAAATTATGGAGGTCAACCTGATAGTCTAAAAGTTTTCATTTGAGTAGATCTAAAACCAAATGCATTGAGTATAATGTAGTTAGTAATAGATCTAGTAGGGGTATTGTGATTTTGGGCGATCAAGTCATTAAAAAGAGTACACGTTTTGGATATCTCGGGTCTATTGTTCGAAGTGATAGTGAAATAGATGGGGATACTATTAGTAGAATTCATGTTGGATGTTTGAAGTGGGAGAAATGCATTAGGTCTATTGTGTGACAAAAAAGTACAACTCAAACTTAAGGGAAAATTCTATTAGATGGTGGTGAGACTTGCAATATTTTATGACGTAGAATGTTGGCCATTAAAAGAGAAACATAAAATTAAGTTAAGTATTGCAGAGATAAGGATGATCAAGCGGATGAATGGCTTCACTCTTAGAGATAGAATGTGAAACAAATATATATGTGATATTGTTAGAGTAACTCCAGTGGCAGATAAGATTGGAGAGAGTCATCTTAGATGGTTTGATCGCATAAAATGTTGGCCTTATGATGACCTGGTTAGGAGAGTAGAAGTATTAGATTTGACCTATATTAAGAAAGATAGAGGTGGACCTAAAAAGTCTTGGTTGGAAAGCATTATAAATGACCTTTTTCAATTAGATTTAAATGAGAATTTGTCTCTTAACATAAAAAATGGGGAAAAATGATTCATGTAGCCGACGACATGTAGTGAGATAAAGGTTTGTTGTTGTTGTTGTTGATTGATTGATTGGTTGGAGACACCTTAAACAAGGAGTCAGATCGGGCTATTGTATCTATTTATGGGAACATTTGATTATATGGAGAAGTAAGAGTATTGACATTTAGTATGTGCAAATTAATGTAGTTAAAAAGATTGTTAAAAGAAAAAAAAATGAGAAAAGGACCAAAATGGTCCCTCAACTTTTTGTGAGGGAAGCAAATGGTCCCCAACTCTTTTGAGGGACAATTTTGTCCCTCAACTCTTTAAAATGAGACATTTTTTTTTTCTAATGGTCCCTCAACTCTTTAAAATGTGACATTTTTTATCCTAACATCCAATGTTTGAGTTTATGGTGTTAAATGTAAGGGTATTTTGATTATTTTTAATTAAAAATTGATTAAATATAATTTTCAAATAATTATAATTTTTAAAAAAATTGTTAAATGTTTCTTTCGTAAAAAAATTAATAATAACTTAAGCTTAAAATTAAAATTTTTTTGTCATATTTTATAAAATATTATTGATAAAAATATGTGTGATTGAGTTGAAAATAACATCTATTTGCATTTGATTTCTCTAAATCAATAAATATCATGTTTTATAAAATATGATTTAAAATTTTGAAATTAAAACTGAATTATTATTAATTTTTTTATTAAAGAAATGTTTAATAAAATTTTTAAGAAAAAATATAATTACTTAACAAAAAATATATTTAATAAATGTTTATTAAAAATGACCAAAATATCCTTACAATTAACACTACTAACTCCAACATTGGATGTTAGGATAAAAAATGTCATATTTTAAAGAGTTGAGGACTAAATTGGTCCCTCAAAAGACTTGGGGACTATTTTGGTCCCTCACAAAGAGTTGAGGGTCAATTTGGTCCTTTTCTCAGAAATAAATTATTAAGTGAAAAAATATAAAATCCCTAAAATATGCCATGACTACCAAATTGCCATTACTGTTTTTTGTCTAGCATGACAGGACTAAACACATTTAGATAAATTGATATTTCATCTCAAACAAAAAGAAAAGAAAAAGAAAATGGATTAGGCCAATTAAATTTTGTTTCAACAAACTCTTAAATTGTAGATTCTCTCACGAAGGCTTTATCAGAGGGGTTTTGATGAGCTAATTAGCAATCCGGTAATTATTGACATATATAACCCAACTTGAGTGGGAGTGTTAAAATAATCTTGAATCCATGACCTACACCTTATCATGTACAACAATCCAATAATATGTGGGCAATAACTTCCTATCTTCAATAATCAAAATTATATGTGAACATCTAGTTTCCATCTATGGAGGTCTAGCAATCCGTGAACAGTAGCATTCCTTTTTTAGGGAGGTTTCATAAGGAAAAAAATAATCATAGTTATTCCCTTAATGTATTTTTTTTTTTTAATTTTGGATGTGTAGTTAATTATGAATTTTAGAATTAAAGATTGTTCCGCAGAATTTTTTTTTTGGATAGTTGTTTCTTCATCTATTTACGTAGAGTTTTTTTCTTTTCTTTTTTACACAAAACACGGTAATGAAATTCAATAAAAAAATTTTCTATTTCAACTTCCCTCTTTTGTCGTTCTAATTTTTAAGACCTTTAAAATATTAGATTAGCTATATTTTACTATGCCATTAATCAAATTGCCATATTATTGTTTTTCTGTATCAGGGGTCTCTCCTTAAACAGCTAGCAATTGCAAATATGAGTATTGGTGGTGGAATAATAGTAGTTCTTGCAGAGAGAGACAAGGAAGAAATGGAGATGGACATAGCAAAACTAGAATTTGACTTCATGGGAACATCTGTCATATGCAGGAGCGGAAGTCCTTTAATTCTAGCCGACTTGAAAAAGGTATACCTATGAGTGATTTGCATTTATAATGTTCCACAACATCCTATTAACTGGCATTTATAAAGTTCAGTAACATCCTAGTGACTGGCATTTTCAAAGATTTTCTGCAACATCCTATCCTTGTGTGAAAGATTATTTCTATAATTATGTAATTAATTTTACAAGATTTTTTTTGTGTTCAGTTGTGTGGGATTAAATTGATACATCTGCAGGTTTCAGTTTCCAAGGCACGTGCTATTATTGTTTTGGCATCAGATGAAAATGCAGATCAGGTCTTTAAGATTTTAACTGATAAGAAAAATATGATCTTTCAAACTTGTCAGAACTTTTCTCGTATTTAAACTGTCACTTTCTTTCGTAGAGTGATGCACGGGCTCTACGAGTTGTTCTGAGCCTTACTGGTGTTAAAGAGGGCTTAAGGGGTCACGTTGTAGTAGAGATGAGTGACCTGGATAATGAGCCTTTGGTGAAGCTTGTTGGAGGAGAACTTATTGAAACAGTTGTTGCTCATGATGTGATTGGACGCTTGATGATACTGTGTGCTCTCCAACCAGGCCTTGCACAGGTTAGGCTGCCATGATTCTTATACATTGTAGGTCTGTTTGTTGAGTCACTTAATGACAGTTTTTAAGGTTTTTTATCCTATAGCTCTTTCATGAACTGGTGTAACTTTTAATACTTTGATGTTCATTTTACCTCTTGTGTATATATTTAACTGCTACCATCATATTAATACTTCTGGTCATACTTGATTGTTGATCCTTTGTTTTGAGTCTAGCTGTTCCATGGACTGAACTAAATGGGAAAACTTTGAAGAAGACCATTTAATGAACGAAAAAATTCTTATTAATTCTCCCCGTCAAAAATGGAATATAAGTGCCAGTGTGGGGCACTTTGGCCTGAAAATTTGAGCCTTAGCAGCTGTATTACATTTTACATTCCAATCCGTTCAATGTTTGTTTTTATTTTCTATTTTTTGATGACTGATTGGTATGTAGTGCTACTTTGTCGTTCACTAATTTATTTGAGATGAATTCTTAGTAAATTTGCCAATGCAGTTTACTGTTTTATTTCCATTTCTAAGAAATGAACCTTCCTGTTATTTTGTAGCAATCATATTACAGTGACTCTTGCAGATATGGGAGGACATTTTGGGGTTTGAGAATGCTGAATTTTACATCAAAAGGTGGCCTCAATTGGATGGCATGCGGTTTGAAGATGTACTGATTTCATTCCCTGATGCTGTTCCATGCGGTGTTAAAGTTGCTGCAAATGGTGGAAAGATTGTCATAAACCCTGAGGATGATTACGTTCTTAAAGAAGGCGATGAAGTCCTTGTTATTGCCGAGGACGATGATACTTATACACCAGGTCCTTTACCAGAGGTGAATAATCCATTTTTTTTTCAAGTCTTCTTTATGTCGTTCATTCTTTTGCATGTTGGCATATTTTACTGCTTGGGGGTATTAATTGTACAGTTTCCTCGACGCAATTGACAGTTGCAGCGTGGCGCTTCATTTATATACATTTAACCATTGCTTGCAGAAAGCTGAATTAATATTGATTTACTTTTCGAAGAGGCTTGATGCTGTTCTCAGAGAATTGTTTTGGATTTAAATGACTCCTTAAGTAGTGTGGTTCTTTCGATGCAGCTTTCTTTTTGTAGAACTGCCTTTATTGCATTGGTAGTTGTTCTGTAGTTTAGATACTTCAATATTGGTTTAACTTTGAAAGGGCTGGTTGGCCCGCTCCAATGATAGGTTTGGATTCAAATGGTTGCTTATGAGACTGGTTTTTTATACAGTTTTCTTTTGTTGAGCTTCTATTTATTGTGTTAAATTTTACCTGTATTTACTTTTTCGAAACTTTTCTTCTAATTAGTTAGATAGATTTGTGGCGAAACTAGGGAATATTCAGGTGAGTAGTCTATTTGCCTGAAATGTTAAATGATGCATCAATATGATGGATAGATAGAATTAATGTGTCAAGATTATGAAAGGAAATGCTAAGCTAACTAGAAGTTTTAAAAAAGACCAGTACAAACTCGAGTTAACGGTTCATACAGTGCTCCATGTAAATAAATTGAAGAGGATTTATAAAGACCAACCCTAATAGTTGGGTGAATGCAAATGATGATATGAAGGATCATGATAATGGAGTGTCAGTAAGATGGAGAATGGAGATACTCCACTTGTATATTGCCATTGTCATTTGTTTCATCCAGATCTTTATAGATTAAGATTTAAGCATATGAAACTTTCTTTTCTATTCATTCCTCTTGGATTTGTTTTCATAGTTTAATTTAGCTATTTTTTTGTGAAACTTATATCTTGTTTACTTTTTTTGTCCACTCATTCCTAGGTAGCCCTTTCACATTAATTCTTGCCCAGTGCTTTTTAGTGCTTTCTCTTCTAAGTGCTATAAATTTCACCCAAACTTTCCCTTGCTCATGCAGTTTTATTATAGTTTTCACATATTCTTAGCAACTAATTTCTTCATACTTAACCATCAAACCTTCTTAGTGGTCCAACACTTGAATCGGCAAATGTAGCTGGCTTTAGCTGTTACATGTAAATGTTCCTTTTGGCTGCAGGTTCTTATCCTAAGGAACCATAACCGTTTGTGTTTATTTAACCATCAAGCGCTTTAGTCTTACTGCTTGTACATTATTTACCTATTCTTCTGTATCTACTTATTATAGACCCCTTTTGGTCTATTGATTAGCCAAACTTTCGTTTTCTGCAAATTTTAAAGCATAGAAATCCATCTTTTTTCTTTACAACCTTTACTCGTATTTTCTTTTACATACCAATAATTTTCTATTTATTGCTTTCACATTCATTAATCATTATGTCTACTAATTGATGCATCTTCTACACTTTGTTTAACATAGAAAAACTACCCATCAATCCATTCTATTTTCTACTTGTTTGGAGAAAATTTGAATGTGTCTAAGATTCAATTTACTTTCTATCTCTGCCACTAAATTGATTTTTCTTTTAATTGATTGTTCATTCATTAGAATAGAAACTTCTGAGAGCATATTAGGACATTGTCTGCATCTGACAGTTGAGATTTTTAATTAATTTTTAGATTTTGTTGCACTCCAAGTTCTGACTTTCAATCTGCGCCTTAATATTTTTTATAATACTAATTAAGTTTTTAACTAGAAATTATTTATCTTAGATAAATGTAGTCATACTAGTGCAACACTAGTGGTCGTGGAATGGTCTTAATCACATTATCTATTTTGATAGTGGATGCTTACAAGTCCTCTTTAAATTCTATATTGGCAGGCACCTCATGCATTTGGGTGAGTACTCCTATCATTTTTTAAAATAATATTCTACCTTTTTCAGGTGCAACCTGGTTTCTTGCCACATGTATTTAGTCCTCCCAAATATCCAGAAAAGATATTATTCTGTGGTTGGCGACGTGACATTGATGATATGATTATGGTAATACATTAACATAGTTCTATTATTTAGTCCATGCTTCAGGATTAGATATATGCTACATTTAATCTGCTTTTTGTGGTTTATGTCAACATATTGGCCCTTATCCTATTCCATTGGGCTATCATTCGTCTATCTTTTATACTATTATTTCATTTGTCAGTTCGGGGACATTATGATCCATTTGTAACTACAACAAGCGCTCTGCCATTCATCATGATTGTCATGCTTGGTTTGAATGATTAGGTGTTGGAGGCATTTCTTCCACCAGGCTCTGAATTATGGATGTTCAATGACGTTCCGATATTGGAAAGAAAGAGGAAGTTGACGGATGGTGGGCTTGATATTTCAGGGCTCTCAAACATTACATTAGTTCATAAAGAGGGAAATGCTGTTATCCGTAGACATCTGGAAAGCCTGCCTTTGGAAACATTTGACTCTGTGAGTATTTACCTTCTATTAGACCTATGCCATATATAGCTAGCGCATCCTTATCTTTTCTTTTTTTCATATCAAGTGCATTTGCTTGGATCAGTGCTTGCCTTCTTGTAATACAACTGACATTGGACTTCTTAAGTTTAAAAATTTCCTAATGTGATAATATGATGAAATTCATGAAAATCACGGAAGTGGAATCAAAATTCATATTTCATTGACAATTTAAATAATATTTGCCCTTATTGATGAAAGTTAGTATGTACTAAAAATTCAGACTGAAGGATAATTTACTATCACCAAATAGAAATTTAGGACAACAAAATATTAAGTTGATTAAAAATCATACCACAATAAGAAATCCAGGAAATTACTCCCCAAATTAGAAAGCCAAAACTCAAACTAATATAATGAGATAGCTTTCCCTAGAGATTGTTAGTCACAACTTGCATCATGGGATGCAAAATCCCAAGAAATTCTTATTGGAAACTCCTCCCATTTTATTTACTTAATGTAATCATTATTTGTAGTCATAGAATTCCACTTCAACTACCAAAAAATATCCAAATCAGGTGGCATTCTTCAATCCTGATAATCAACGAGAATCTACCAAGTGATCACATTTAGCACAAATCCTAAAATAATAGTAACCATAACAATAAAGCCATAGATGATATTTTAGTAGATAAATTGTTGAAGGAGTGTGGGACCCTCAAGTCAACCAATATTGATAGGAATTTTTGAGCATACGTATTAATAGTTCTAACCATTGGATCAATCCTCTTATGATCCTTAGATGCAATCCTTGTGTTTCATTTTCCTATTATAGCTACTGACCTCTTTTAAGGACATTTTTCTTTTATTCTAATTCTAAATAGCTTTGATTTATTTCTATATTTTTTTTCTAGAAGTCTACTAATACTTTCACACTTTCTATAGAATCAAGCAATAAAATTTAAAGTAGGTTTTTCTACTTTTATACATCATATCAGAGCTAGTCAGAGTTTCTTCCATCCAGTGCTTTTTTTTTATTGCTTCATGTCAAGATTCTTCCTTCTCATCATTATAACTATTTTCTTTGATTTTACTTCAAAGGAGTCAACCATTATTGAGTGGTGAAAATCAAACTAAAGGAGAACTCCAAGGGATAAAAGTCTCATATCATATGAACGAGAGAAATTATCTAAAATGATTTTAAATTGTGAAGACCTTTTTGAAAAAAAAAGTAAAGTTCCATCTTCTCATGAATCCTCCTACAGGCTCAAAAGACTCAAAATTTGTACTTTGGGATGAAGTGGATTCCATGATGATGACATGGTTGTGAAATATCATGATACTTGAAATCAATGGATCATTTATATTCCTCTCTATTGCAAACAAATGTACTCAAAAGTGAGTGATGCTGCCCTCACCTAGGAGGTCAAAACTAAGATTTTAACAACCAAGCAAGGTAACTTTTCTATTATTGAGTACATTAATGCAATGTAGGTTTATTGACTTGAATTGGATTATTACTAAGATCTCAAGGTGACATGTTGTGATAATTCAATAATTCTTAATCAATTTATAAAAAGAGAAAGGGTGAAGTTCTTTTCAGGACTAAAAAATGACTTTGATTAAGTTTATTTTCAAATGTTAAGTACAAAAAACTTATCATTACTAAGTGATGGTTTTGTTTCTGCGCGCTAAAGAAGAAGGTGATGTTGGGTGCTTTGATTTTCAAAACATCTGTCATGGCAAACACCAAACTTATTTGACCCAATTTAGATTTTAGTAGTTTGAGTTTTCTATCCAGACTCAAACTCTATATGTTCATCACTTAGTCAAAATGAGTGATTTTATTCTCTTTTTAAAATTAATCAAAATTAGTGATCTATTCTCTTTTTAAAATTAAAATTCAAACATTCAAGTTTCTTTTAAGTGCCTCTGCTCTAAAATTCATCTAGCATAATTAGTTGAATTTCACGAAGTCTTAAGTAAAAATCTTAAGACAAATTTACATAAATTAAATTACACAAACATCTCTTCATCATAACCAATAGTAAGAGAATCATTAAAATTCATAAAAATATATATATTTTTTTATGTAATGATGTGCCATTCCACCTTAAAAAGTGGAATGTCGATGCCATTAGATCTTAGGACATGTGAATGACAAGCTTGCCTTAAAATAAGTAGTGGTAATTCCATGAAATTTTCATAACACCTTTAAAAATTAGAAACCCCTTTAAAATGCAAATGAAAGCTTTAGATCACGAATAATTTATAGTGAAACCATTGCTGTATTAAAATTATATCGCTTCATATTTCACAATAGAACACCATAATGAATAATAGCACGAGCCATCACATATTTGATGCGCAAACCATAGGCATCATAGAATCAAGATTTCCTTTTCTGCATATGCGATTCTAATGTTTGGTGTGAAATGATTGTTTAATGGATTATTTACATACTTTCTAATTTTTTATTTACAAGAGGGTCTTTTCCTTTCTTATAAATAAAAAAATAGAAAAAGACATTCAAATATTATAGTTATATGTAATCTTAAGAAGTTATGTAGGCTTGCGGGATACGTTGAAAGGAATGGTGAACCCAAAGGAAGAATACCGTAGAATAGTTCGTTTTTCTTCTTTAGAGGGAAGGTGCTTTGACTAAAATAAAAAGTATAAGAACCTATAAACAGTCGGGAAGATCCCTTGTGGGAGACCAAAAATATATGGCAATATTATTTCCTCTTTCTAATTTTCATTATTATTAGTTATTTTACCCACTGAGTGCCTACAAGTTGAGACCAATAGAACTTAGCTACCGAAATCACACATGAAAATTTATCAAACAAACGAAACATCATATCTCCTAATTTAGGTGCAGTATAATAGGTAGAAAACTTAATTTCCTAGGAGCCTTCTACACAAGATATCCAAACCACCCTCAAATAAAGAATCAGAAGAAACATAGGAAAAAAAAATGTATTTCGAATGTGCACTCAAAGTAAACAAACATTCAATCACAAAATAATAGTATTTTTTACAACTAGAAAAAAGGCAACTAAGCTGCCTGCCTTATACAATCCACTTAATTTATAGACTTCGCAAGTGGATCTTCAAGATTTGACTTATGATGCATCCAAAGTTTCACTTTGGGTTTCATCCTTCAAGTTCATCTTTCCTTTCAATGTATCCCGCAAGCCTACATAACTTCTTAAGATTACATATGAATTAGAATATTTGATTGTGTATTACATACTTTCATTTTTTTGGCTGGTTGTAAAAAAGACTATTATTTTGAGATTGATTGTTTGTTTACTTTGAGTGCACAATAGAAAATACAAATTTTTTTCCTAGTCTTATTCGGATTCTTTATTTGAGGGTGGTTTGGTATCTTGTGTGGAAGGCTCCTAGAAAATTAGGTTTTCACGTATTAAAATATAAGTAATATTAAAATCAATTGTAGGATAATATTTTTCAAATAAACTTGCATAACTTATTCAAAAATAAGCTAAAACTTGAATAAAATGCAAAGCCTCTTTATGGATCTTAATACATAATTCAATATTTGATTGATTGATTATCCATAAGGTTGTGCTTCTCAATCAACATCAAATCTATGTATTTCACTAATGAACATTATATGTATAACGTTATGAGTTAAATATAAAAACAACTGTGACCTTAAGGATTGTATAACAAATAAAATTGTATTGTGAGTCGGTACATATAACTCTTATTGTTAGACATCTTAGTTTAATTGAATAAGTTATAAGTCCTCTTTTTTAAAATTAAAACAACTTAGCCCATCTAGCATATGTATTGAGATAAGTACTGTATGATTTTAAAAGTGCTTAGGCAAGTTTAACTGGCCGCCCATTTCAGATAGGATTGTAATAAGATCAGAGGTTGTGCTGTTTAACCTTTGGCGAGGTTGCAAGTTTGTAATTCCTATACATGTCGATAGATTTATGTTTAAGTTACTATCTATAAGTGATTCTGACGTTAGAATTATGGTATGAGGCTGATATTCTTTTCAATTATGTCATATATCATCATATTTCTTGGCATTTATCCAGTCTTTTATTTTGGAATATGAACCTCAATTTTTTAGATGAAATGATTAACTTTAACTAGTGGCGGAGCTAGAAATTTTTTTCAGTGGCGGCCTAAATTTATTTTGATAAATATTTTCTCAATTTTTTCATCCGAGCTTGGACCAACATAGTTAATATGTCAAAATTTGTAAATCATTTATAAATCAAATAAATACCGATTATGATATATTAAAATTAAAAAAAAACAAATCTATTATTCAGGTTTTTTGCATTTACGATCAACTTCTATAACATTTATTTGTTTATAAAATGTATGATACTAATAACTGGATTGATTTAATTTTGAAATTAATATAGATAAAGTGAAAGAAGCTCACAGTTACCATCTACTAGGATTTGCTACACTTTTGTATATTTTTTTATAGGTTGGTATGCGATGCCATGGATATTGCTTGGTTCATCATCTTGCTATTGTTGGATTGCTAGATCTATAGGTAGGCTTCAACATAGTGTGTTTTATTGACTGGTGGCCATAATGGTACTGTAGTTTTAATGCATGGCATGAAATACCTATGATTTCCTACCCCATATATCCAAACTATTTTTTTCTTTATTTTAAATCCTCAATTAAACGCCATTTTTTTGGGGGACCGCGGGGGGGGGGTCACATGTCATGTGTCCCCGCTGGCCCCACCTTGAATCCGCCCCCTGACTTTAACATAAATTCAATCTCAAAATATAAAGCAAAACATAAGATAATTTTATATGTACCTAAGTTTTTTAGAATCATGTATTTTTATATTTCCTCTATTAACTCGTGTTCAAATTCATTTATAAGTTGATCAAATTATCTTTAAAATTTCAAAGACTATTGAAATGAAATTCTTAAAATTATATAAAAATATAAGTCAATAATTTAATAAAAAATATAAAGCACCATTTTATTCAAAAGGGCCAAAACTTCTTGGGATGTGATTAATCATAGTATCTTGCCCTTATGGGGAATGTACACCCAGAATAAAAAAATAAACCATATTCAATTATAAATATTGTAAAAGGGAAAATATCTTGGAAAAAAAAATGCAATTTTTTTTTGAGTTCATAACAAAATAATATTTTTATCCTTCAAGATACTATAATTTTTTGTTATGCCATATTCGATCATAAAATTTTCAAATTCTTTGAGGATAGAAAAATTCTCCATTAGATCTACATAAGCAATATCTAAATTCAACAAAATTTATGCCTGAATTACACCGTTAACTCAACATCTATTACAAAAACTACTATGGAGAACACTGTTTTTGTAATGACGGTCCACCAAGAAACCTGACAAAATTTCTTATAAGAAAAGTCTTAGAATGAATAGCTTGATATTTTAAACTTAATAAATAACTCCTATTTATTCAATAATAAACATTAAGGCACTGGGTAATGCAGTATGAACAATGAAAGATGTAAAATTTTCAATGTAATAGTTATGATAATTGTCATCAAATCATCAAGCTAGAAAATAAAATTTCATTATATAAATGAAATGAAGCTTAATGGCCTATTTATATGATTTGTTCAAAACAATCATATGTCCCTCATTTTGTATGTCAGAAATTTTTACGAGATCTATCTGTCATGTTGGCTTTTGTGTTTCATAGTTCACTAATTATGAGCAAACCTAGCTATCTCTGCCACAGGGCTGTGGTCACTTATTGCATACTTGTTGTTGCCCCATAAGTGGATTTTTTGATGTGGCATTATTTTGTAAGAAATACTAAGTTATTTCTCTTGGATACATGCTACTACACTTATTATCTAATTATTTTTTTTCTTGCTGCACATGCAAGTGTGCAGATCGTATTTTACTTCTTGGGTTGCTAATGACTAATATTTTGGATTATAGGTAGTTGGAGTTATTAATGATTTTAAAATTACCTTTAAATGTTAAATCTCAATGAGAAATTTTTACATAAGTTCTCTTAGTTCTCTATAACATGATCAGTTTGTGGAGAAGAATAATTGTCTTATAACTTTATAAAGGAGATTAATTTTAAAATTTAATAAACATTGATTAAAGGATTACTATCTTTGCATTATGTGCTTGGATTTCTGGAAACCTTATAGTTGCTGCTAGAGTTTGTTATAAAACCTTAGTGGCTTAGTATTATTTCTTTAGTTCAATACGAAACATTGGTATATATTAATACTAGGTTTTATAACAAACGCTCTGCATTTGTCTTGACTAGTTCTTATTGTTTTCATAATAGGGTAAGTTTATATCCTTGTATAAAAGGTTTTAAACCTATTGCCCTTTTTCATGCAAGACAAAACTTATGGAGTTCTACATAAATTCCCAATATCAAATAATAAGATCAAGCACTCAGGGATTTTTCCTTGAGAACCCAATTGCATTGTTGCATACATCGTTTTTTTTCTTTTTTCGAAATGGTTAGGTACTAAATTTCTGGAACAGATTTTAATTCTTGCAGATGAGTCTGTTGAGGATTCCGTTGTTCATTCTGATTCAAGGTCCCTTGCAACACTTCTTCTTATTCGTGATATTCAGGTATTTGCTTCCTTTACGTGGAAGTTTCTAGTTTCGAACAATAAGACGTCCTACCTGTACGGATTTCTTTTGAAAATATATTTATCAAAATGATGAGGATATTGGGGCAATACATGTCACTACTCAAGTCAAATTGTCCAGCAAAAGCCCAATTGACCATATGCTAATTAGAAGGAGACGTCTATTTTGTACATAGATTATAGTGTAAGAACATTTGAATTTGATATTGAGTTACTGTTGAAGCATTTAAGCCTAGTTTTGTAATGCGTGGACCGTTAGGCCAACAAATCCATGGGTTTAAGTCGGTGTAAGACATGTTGCTTATCAAATAAAGCAATGCTATAAGAGGTTAACTGATTTCTCGTAGAATCTGAAAATGATGTGCATGCCAGAGCTTAAATCATGGAGGTGACCTTTTTTTTTAACTATTTTCTAAAGAAAGGTTGCATGGTAGACTAATAAATAATAGCTTTCTCACCGTCGATTTAACTATTTCTTCAAGAATAAGATTATTTAACTATCACAAGCTGCAACTTATTCTTAAGTTTAATCATTATTATTTCTAGTGATGCTTCACCTCAAAAAAAATCTGCATAAAAAATCATTTGGATCCCATTTTATGGGTTGATAAATTATGTTTGGGAGAGTGCCATTTACTTTTACTTGGGATGAGTTTTAATAGATCTACTTAATCAAGTGCTTATATAGCATGAGATCTTGCGCAGGCCTTTTGGGGAGTATAGCATTTATGTATTATTTTTGCTGTCTTATACATGAAATGCTGAATTTCTACTTATTGCTCTTTCCCTCCCCCATTCCCTATTCTACATCAATAGACTCTAGCCATCCCTAACCCAAAATCCTATAATGCCTTGGTTAACTGGTCTATTTCACATTTGTTCGTCTGTATTTCTGCATATCCAGTATTAATGCAAACCTGCAAATAGTTCTGATATTGAAATTAGTGGGAGTGCTAATGATCATTATAAGTTCTCATGTGTTACATTTAATCAAATTGTTTAAGTCGTTATTAGATTCTCCCTTCTTGAGAATTATGCTGCACCTAAATTAGGAGATCTGATGTTTCGTTGGTTTGATAAATTTTCATGTGTGATTTCGGTAGCTAAGTTCTTTTGGTCTCAACTTGTAGGCACTCAGTTGGTAAAATAACTAATTATAATGAAAATAAGAAAGAGCAAATAATTTTGCCATATATTTTCCTGTCTCCCACAGGGGATCTTCAAGACTGCTTATAGGTTCTTATACTTTTTATTTCAGTCAAAACGCCTTCCCTCTAAAGAAGAAAAATCAACTGCTCTACGGTATTCTGGTTTTTCTCACAGCTCCTGGATCCGGGAGATGCAGCAAGCTTCTGACAAGTCAATCATTATAAGTGAGATTCTTGATTCAAGGACTAGGAACCTTGTATCTGTGTCTAGAATCAGTGACTATGTCCTGTCAAATGAGCTTGTTAGCATGGCACTGGCCATGGTAGCTGAGGACAAGCAGATTAATCGGGTTCTCGAGGAGCTTTTTGCTGAAGAGGTACTTGCAGCTGAATCCTTTTATCATCTTTATACCCAAATTAAATGAAAAAAAGCACGCATATCAAATGCTTAGGTGTTTTCTTGATTCTTACTGTAAAATTGTTACCTGGTTCTTAAATAGTATGATGTTCATTCTGCTCCTTTTTTTCCTCATTTGTGCTTAAGTTGCTTATAGAATTTTTGTAATACGCCTTGTAGCAGATAATAGTTTTTAATGATGGCTTTGACATATGAAGGATTACGTACAAGTATTTCTAAAGTTAATTTGTATAATATTTCTTGCCACGCAATTTTCTCCACTTCCTTTGACTTCAACTAGATTTTCTATGGGTTAGAAATCTTATCATAATTTTTTTAAAAAAATTTCACTCTTGTTGAACTAGTAAAAATAGTGCTGCCTCAAATGGAATGCCAACTTTTAATATTATGGGTTAAGCTTTGGAAAAATCTAGAACTTTCGTTTGAGAATTTTTTTTAGTTTTGCAGGACTAAACTTACGCAACTTCTTGAAATTTTAACATACAATTTTTACTATTCTACACCTAAAACTTAATAAGGGGTTGTTTGGTTTTTCTGCATTTAAGGTGTAAAATATTTTAAGTGCAGAGGTTTTGAAAATATTGGTGTTTGATTTGAAGTAAAAGGAATGCAGGGTGCAAAATGAGTACATTTCAAATACACCAGCTAGTGCATTTTAGGTATATTTGGAATTCCTCAGATTTGGGCGATTTCTAAATACATTGCTAACGCATGCCATTGCCATAGCCTGCAGGCTACTACTCGCCACAGCCCACCACTACCCGCCGCTGCCACCGCCAACAGTCAGCCGGTGCCACCATCGACCATCGCTGCCACCTCTACCGTTGGCCGCCGGCCACCACCGTCGGCCGTCTACTGCCACCAATACCGGTCGCCGCCCCCCTCCACCACTAGCCACCACTGGGCACCTCCTCCCCTTCGTCGTTGTTGACATTGCCGGCTGTCTTCGCTGCCACTACCTTCTGTAGCCTTCCCTCCGCCGCAAGTCATATATAACCTTATATATAAACAATTGAATTGTAATACGTGTTGCATGAAGTTCAATCAAGGTTTGACTGTTTGAACGTTGTTTAAACTTGATATGGACATGAGTTTAAGATTTAAACAACTATAACATAACACATTATAACTTTAATACATCAAAGTGTAATCAAAACAACTATAACCTAACAAACTATAAATTTGATACAAGAGAGTGCAATTATAATATGTATAACACAAAAGACTATAATTATGATATAACATAGTGCAATCACAACAATTATAATGCAATAGTTACAATTTTGAAATAATAGAGCACAATTACAATAACTATAATGCACTAAAGTACAACTGATCAATAGACCAGAATCACAACACCTCTACCATAACATAATACAACTTTGATAAAATAGAGTGCAATCGCATAGCTATAACAAATAAAATCGAATTTCTCGGCATGTCTCAAGTGAGAGTTTTGGCTACTTATATTGATGAATCCAATTTCTTCCCTTTCAACTTTCTTTGCTCAAATATAATACTTAGGGTACTCATGTATATCTTTATAAAGTGTACAAATCTAATCTTGTTCAAACTTTTCCTCTGACCTCATATTTTGAATTTTTAGGATCCTGAATTTTACATTCCTTTTCTTTAAAATTAGAGTTTCCTCTATACTTCCAAGAAGTTTAAAAACATCGAACTATCTAACAATGTCATCCAACTCATACACGCGAACATAGCAGTATAATGCCTTTCAATAGGTATGATTATAGTGGACATTTGTGTATATAACAACTCAAATGAATCAATTTCATATAATAAAATAAATATAAAGCATTAGGGTTTGAGCCATCTCCAAAACATGCACAAACCTTGTTTAAGCTAGTTTGACCATGATTTGAGCAAGGTTTGAGCATGCTTGTAATAATTAATGTGGCGTTTAATGGGCTTTAGTGTGTAGTGTTTAGTTTGTGAATATGATAGGTAATGCTTGTATTCACAAGTAAACCTAAACCAAATCAAGTACCTAAGCAAGGAAAATCTGCTGTCCACAGCGAAAACTCAGCCCAACAGCGGAAAACACTGAGAGAAACGCAAGGAAAAATCGTAGTGACAAGAAGCAAACACTTTTATTTCAAAAATAGATAAAAAGCACTTGCAAGATACAATTTTCCTTCAATTCGAGAGGAAGGAAAAACTCTCCACTATCTCCGGCAACGCCAAGAGCCAAAGCAAACCCTAGATCTCAAAGAAAAAACTCAAATTTAAGATGAGGAACCAATTCCCCCTCCAATCTCTTAATTAAACAAAATAATCATAAATGACAATAATGGATTTCCTAAAACAGCCCCCTCATTCAAAATTCTCCCTCCCAAATCAGATTTAAGCTGGCGTGGGGGCCACAGGGAGTTCCGCCCCTGGCTCCTGTTTCCGCCCAGCCCGCCTGGCATAAAACTGGACCGGTCCAGTGGGGACCGGTCCGCTCATAACATTACTCCCCTCCCAAAGATTCACCTTGTCCTCAAGGTGAAAGTCTGCAAACTGCTGCTTCATCATCTCATAGGGCTCCCAGGTAGTATCGTAGTCGGGAAGATCTTTCCATTTAATTAACACTTCCTTGGTTCCTTTTTTATTAATTCTTACTCCTTCCAGCTCCATGGGTTCCATTACCACCTCCAAGTCCTCTGTCAATGATGCTGGTAGCTCGGGATTGGCTACATGCTCTCCAAGCGCTCTCTTTAACTGTGACACATGGAACACTGGATGTATGGTGGCGGACGGGGGTAACTTCAGTCGATACGCTATTGCTCCAATCCTCCCGGTGACCTCATAGGGGCCAAAATACCTCGGGGCCAATTTCTCATTTCTCCTGTTTGCCACTGTTTTCTGCCTGTAGGGTCTTAATTTCAGAAATACCTTCTCCTCAACTCCAAATTGTATGTCTCTCCTGTGTGTATATGCTCGCTTCTTCATGATTTGTTGTGCCATTCCCAAATGCTTCTTTAACTCCTCCAGCACCTGGTCTCTTTCTTCTAAGTACTGCTCAACTGAAAAGATCGGTGTGTTTTCCTTCCCATAATGCACTAACTGTGGGGGGTCTCTTCCATAAAGTACCTTGAAAGGGGTCATTTGGGATGCCGAGTGATACGAAGTATTATACCAATACTCTACCCAAGGTAACCATTTGGCCCACTTATGTGGTGTTTCCGAAGCAAAGTACCTCAAATAGGTTTCCAAGCTCCGATTTACCACCTCTGTTTGTCCGTCGGTCTGTGGATGGTAAGCGGTACTCCTCTTGAGAACAGTGCCCTGCATTCGAAAGAGTTCCTTCTAGAACTGATTGAGGAAAACTTTGTCTTTATCTGACACAATTGAAGCAGGGAATCCATGTAATCACACCACTTCTCTAATAAATGCTGCTGCCACTGAGACCGCGGTGTACGGGTGTCGCAGGAGGATGAAATAGGCATACTTACTGAGGCCTAACTCGGTTTGGAAGCTCCAAGGGTTGGAGTAGCCCTCCTGGTGCCATTGCCATATATTTATTTCTTTGGCACACCTCGCACCTTGCCACCAGCTCTTCCACATCTTTATCCATGCCTTTCCAATAGAGCTCCGTTGCTAGCCTCCTATATGTCTTCTGAACTTCTGAATGGCCTCCAACTGCACTGCCATGGAACTCCTGCAACAGGTGGGGGATATGTACGGAAGTTCGTGGCATCACAAACCTCCCTTGATACAATAATCTCTCCCCCTCAATGTAGTAGCCCGGATGGCTACTCTTGTCTTTCTGCAGGTCCTCCCTGATCTTCCCCAATTCTTCATCTAGCCTTCTTTCTTCCTTGATGGCCCCCCAATCAACCATCAATGGCACTGACAGAGCTAGTTCCTGGAGTTCCCCCACACATCTGGATAGAGTGTCGGCTGCCTTGTTCTCCAAAACAGGCTTATACTGGATCTCAAAGTCATAGCCTAGGAGTTTGGATAACCACCTCTGATGCTCTTCAGTCACCATCCTTTGCTCCAGCAAGTACTTCAAGCTCCTCTAATGAGTCCGCACGATAAAGTGCCTTCCCAAGAGATATG